GACAGAGGGACAACCTGAAAACATGATGCCTCCGGCCGCAGCTGTTGCCGGTGTGGAGGCATACAAACCTCGGTCTGCTGAAGGTCAACGTGATGTTTTCAAAGTCTGTCAACGACTTTTAGAGATTTTATACACAAACAGGAAACAGACAGACTTTAGAGAACAAACTGTGAGTCTTTGAGTCTGTCTCCTGTCAGGACAGAAAGGTCGCTGATTTGCCTCTGACTGTAGCTCAGCCAACCTGTCTCAGTTTATGAACCTTACTATTTACACTGTTTGTCAGTGTTTATGTTCTTTCCATCGTATTATTGATGTCACATTGTTCTGTCGCCTCCTCCACCTCAACATTTGAGTCTGACTGTAAGGTGATAAAGTGGAGACACTGCAGAGGAACATTTAAAACATACAGATGTCATCAAACATCCCTGCTGAACACTGACTTAAAGACAATTATTTTATATAAAAAACAAACCAACATGTAAATAAGACATTATTTAGATAAACATGCACTTATTTGAGTAATTGTTTACATCTCTTTATTTCAGTCCATAAATCAGTGAACACTGTCAACAACCAGAAAAATAAAATCTCATTTTCAGGTGGAGATTTACGACTCAGAGAAAAATCTATTTTGAGAAAACAGCCTTTAAAGAACTGTTCTGTACACGTCAGTGTTCATGTGTTCATGGTGATGTGATTAATGTCCACACATGACACTTTGTTTTTTAAATCTCATGCTGCTACTTTGAGTCTGAGCTCCACCTACGAGCTGAGCTCACAGGAGCAGCTGATCAGACTGATGTCAGCGAGCGACCACATCGCCAAAGATGCCAAAGAGGGTGAAACTTAATCAAAGGAGTTAACTACAGGGCAAGTGACTGCAGACCTGTAGTTTAAAGTCCTGTGTGTGATTTATCCTGGATTTATGTGAGGAGAGAAAAACTCTGCTAGCTGCTAGGCTAATTTATACACTGTAAAATGCCATTGACTTGTGCTAATAACATTAGCATGTTGTATTTGTTTGGGAAACATGTCCAGATACAGACACGTGTTTTGGAGGTGTAACTGCAGAGTGACATTGATGTTATGAGAGGATGTCCTCAGGTGGACATGTTGGGACCGTCGGGGGGACAGTAGTTTGACACATAGAGGACCTGTATGAACCAGAGAGAGACTCTAACATGTGATGATGCTGTCACATTAACCCGATCATCACAGTGACATCAGAGTGACATCACACCACACTGACACTGATCGATCATAAAGTCAAATGGAAAATAACAGTTTATACATGAGATTAATCAGGATTAAAAAACATTGTTTGAATGTATAAACCTCATCAGCTGTGTGTGTATGTGCGTGTGTGTGTGTGTGTGTGTGTGTGTGGTGACCTCTGACCTCTGGGAAGTTGCAGCTGAAGCAGGAGGACCAGCAGCACTTGGAGCAGGTGCCCATACTGCCCATGTTCTCCTTACAGAGGATCTGATCACAGCCCTGAGGGTTGGTGCACCACGTCAGGTTAGAGCAGCACTCCACGTAACCACGGAGCAGGGCGTTCTCATACTGGGGGGGGGGGGGTGAATCGATCAGTCTGATTATTCTGATAATCAATTTCCGTACCTGCTTTAATCACATGTGATTGCTCTGTGAGGTCGTCACAGTAACCAACCAAGGAGGGCGGGGCGTTACCTTGGCGATGGTGTCCTTATCGGTTAGGATGCTGAGGAAGAAGCGTGAGGTGGGCTGAGCCTGGCAGTCTGTGATTGGACAGTTACAGTTCATCACCAGGTTCTGTTCAATCCTCGCCGTCAGGTACTCCTGCCAGCACGACTGTGACACAGAGATCAATAATCAATAACCAGCACGACTGTGACACAGGGATCAATAATCAATAACCAGCACGACTGTGACACAAGGATCAATAATCAATAATCAGTATCAGTATTGATGAGGGGGCAGGGCCTGACCCTGCAGCAGTAGTGCTGGCAGCTCAGTGAGGCAACGGGCTCTGTGGGTGGGGGGCGGGGACTCAGGCAGACGGGGCAGGTGGAGGCGGGGCTCGGCGGCGGCTGCGGGTTTCTGGACTTGATCCCGGCGGCCATGATGAGGGCGTCTGGGTCGTCGGTGTAACGCTGCACCAGCAGGTCCACATTCCACTTACAGTGGACCAGGAGGTGCTCGGCTCGGTCCAGGTCCAGACTGAGCGTCCCTGAGACCTGAGGGGACACAGACAGACAAGAAAAACTTGGATAACGTGTCTCTTTGTGGTCATGTTGTGTCTCTTTGCGGTCATGTTGTGTCTCTTTGTGGTCATGTTGTGTCTCTTTGTGGTCATGTTGTGTCTCTTTG